ACGACGACGACGACGACAACAACAACAACAACAACAACAACAACAACAACAACAACAACAACAACAACAACAACAACAACAACAACGACGACGACGACGACAATTGTCTGTCCGGCAGTCGCGACTCCAACGGCTACTGTTGACGTGACCGTAATTGAGTTCACTGTGACCGGCGTCGACACCGGCAACACGATTCGCTGCGTTGCACTCAGCTCGAGCCCAGCCGCCATGTATGAAAACATCACCACGTCAGAGGAGGACTTTTGGGGCGTCGCCTTAAACAACGCCGACTACGACAGCGACTACAACGCGATCGAAGCAGATGCAGAGACGGGCGTCGACATCACACTGCGGACTGGCAACCAGGGTGGCACGTTCACCCACGTGTGCAGTGCTCGCCCCACTAACTCGAGCGGACTGTGTCCGCTCGTGGTGACTGACCCGCCTTCTACCGCACCCTGCTTCCCTGGCTGGGCGGAGATTATCTTGGAGAGCGGCGAGCGTGTGCAGCTGCGTGACCTCAAGACTGGCGACCGTGTGCTGTGCTTGTCGGCTTCGAACGGTAACAGTCTGGCCTACTGCGACATGAAGACATTCATCAACGTCCAGCACAACAAGACCAGCCCCTTTGTGGAGCTGCACTACACGGACAAGGACGGTAACGCCAGTGTGCTCACCTCGACCCCCGACCACTTCATCTTCCGCGCTGGCGAGGACGTGGATGTGTCCAACGCATCCACCACCAAGCCCGCCGGCGACTTCATCTTTGCAGAGAACTTTGTTGTAGGCGACCGCCTCATGCGCTACGACGACGCCGGCTTTGTGTACACCGTCGTCATCACCAGCATCACGGAGACGACGGACAATGAGTTCTACTCACCCGTCACCAACGACGGCTCCACGCTGTTTGTGGACGACGTGTTTGCGTCCTCGTTTGCCTTCCTCGCATCCGCGGAGGCCCTGCGCAAGCTGAACGCCCCCATCTGGCAGAACGACGACGCCCGCTTCAGCGTTCCAACCGCTGGCAAAGACTTCCCTGTTGGCCTACACCCGTTTGTTGCGGAGCGCGCCCGCCTCATTGTTCAGGCCAACGTCAGCGGCCAGACGGTTGACTTTGGCGGCCTTCTTGGCTACATTGGCCAGCAGCTCGCTCAAGGCCACATCTTCTCCGAGCAGGAGATGCTTGACCTCATTCCCACTTACATCAGCTAAACTCTGTGCGTGTGTGTGTGTGTGTGTGTGTGTGTGTGTGTGTGTGTGTGTGTGTGTGTGTGTGTGTGTGTGTGCCAAAAACAACGTTGTCCGGCTGCTTGACGGGTTTTACGTGTTCCTAATTGCTGTTGGCCAAAACAACCAATTGTGCCTTGAAAGTTCTTCGCAGCTTTGCGTGCAAGCAAGCAATTTTTGTGCGGAGTTGCCGTGCAACACATTGTGTTGCGACAAATTCGTGCCGTTGCTCTCATGCCACGCGCATTCTTGACGAAGGTGTGGGCTTGTGGGAAGTGGGTTGCTCATGCCACGGCGTGGGCTTCCCCCTGCTCGCTCCTTGTGTTCATTGTGTTTTTCTTGGAGCTGCATTTTCACTCTGAAGCCCACACCTCCTCGAACACAAGCAAAGTGCAGGCGAGAAGACAACAACAACAACCTCAGCGTTTCCCAAAAGCATCTGCCCATCAATTTCAACCCCCGCAGCGTCCACGTTCTATATCGACTATTCAGAGGGTATTCAGTTCGTTATTGACGGCGGTGCACCTGTCGGCACGGAGATTAAGTGTGTTGGTGTTTCGGATGAGCCCAGCAACCCACATGCAAGCGCCCTCAGCAACACCACCGAGTTCTGGGCCTTGGACATTTCATCCGATATCAACTACTTTGCACTTCTGGCGGACGCAACTGGCGAGACACAAACGCTGCAATCAGGATCGCTCTTCGACAATTTTACCCATGGCTGCAGCGCGCGGCTGAAGGGCTCTGGTGCAGACTGCCCTGTCGTGCTGTCGGACCCAACCACCACCAGCCCATCATGCTTTCCTGGTTGGGCCGAGGTGATTCTGGAGAATGGCGAGCGGGTGCAGCTGCGTGATCTGAAGACTGGCGACCGCGTGCTTTGCCTGCAGGCATCGGCCGGCAACGCGCTTGGCTACTGCGAGCTCAAGACCTTCCAGCACGTGGAGCTGAACGGCACCACGACGTCTGTCGAGCTGCACTACACGGACAATGACGGCAACCCTGCGCTGATGTCGGCCACACCCGACCACTTTGTGTTCCGCGCAGACGAGGACGTGTGCGTTGCTGACGGCGTGACGGTGCAGCCTGCAGGCGAGTTCATCTTCACTGGCGAGTTTGCTGTTGGCGACCGAATGTTGCGCTACGACGCCGACCTCGGTGTCATGTACACCGTGAACATCACCAGCATCTCGTACGCAATTGAGCCAGACTACTTCACGCCGCTGACCGACGACGGCTCCACGCTGTTTGTTGAGGACGTGTTTGCGTCCTCGTTTGCACTTCTGGAGAGCCCCGATGCACTGCGTTTGGGGACGGCGCCCATCTGGCAGAACGCCGATGATCGTTTCACGGTGTTGTACCGAGATGTCGGTAGTGTAAGTAATGTAATGTGAAAGTAGACAAGACGAGAGGTGAATGAATCAAACAAACATCAAGTGAACAAACAACATGTGAGACAGGTGAACCACAAATGAGACAGGTGAACAACAAGTACACATGGCAGCCATCTTGCATGCGTGCAAGTTGATGTGAGATTGCATGCCTGCCAGTGGTTGGGTATGTTGTGTG